CGGGTGCCGGAGACCTGGGGGGGTGGCACGGTGGGCCGGGCTGGCGCTGGCCGCTTGGCTGTGGAGGAAGGAAACAAGGGAGGTTAAGTGTCCACATGGCCTGTGGCAAATCCACCAAGCTCGGTCCTGCCTCAGGATCTTTATATCTGCCGTTCCTCCCGCCAGGGGCAGTTTCCATGACTGAATCCTCATCACTTGGGTCTCTCAGGCCCTCCCTGATCACCCCAGCTAGAGAAGCCCCCTATGCCCCACCCCTGTGGCTCTGTCGCACATTATTTTCTTCACAGGACTTTTTGCCCTCTGAAATTATCTTGTCTATTTTTATTTTACTCGATCATGGCTTGTGTCCCTCAGTAGGATGAAAGCCATGAGAGGCCACCATCCGTGCCACTGGCTGGCACAGTGCTAGGTGTGGAGCAGGTGTTTGTACCTATCGGCTGAATCAATGAATGCTGCCCGTCCCTGCTGACTTGGGTCTTGCTCTCAGGAGCCTGCCAGAACAACCCTGCCCCAGCTCCCCAAGATCGCAGCACACAGTTCCAATCTCGTGAGGCGGCGAGGGCTGGGTGGAACCAGGGGGCCTGGACCCTGGCCCTAGCCCTACCCACTGGAGGTTTGGGGTGATCCCTTGCCACCGGGGCCTCAGTTTCCTTGCTGTCACAGCCCTCGGAGCCCTCCAGGCGCTCTGCTCAGGTGAGCCAACATCCCATTCCAGGGAAGGTGGCTGGAAGCCCCCTCTTCCAGTAAGGCCCAAGTGACCTGCCAGCTCCTAGACCAGAGGCTCCCGTGGCTGCTCCATCTATCAACTCTCGGCTCTACAAAACTGTCCACCTGATGGAAAATTCCAGTGCCCCTGGGGCTGGGCGGGGTCTCTCAAGTATGCTGGTCACCCTCTCACCTGTCCAGCTCTGGGCCAAGTCGACAGGTGAGTGCACCCGAGGAGCTCAGAGGGAGGCCCCTGGTTTCTTCCCATCCCACTGCCTCCCCTCCTTCACCACCCTTCAAAGACTCCCTCCTTCTGCAGCCTTCTTGAGGGACCAGGACTCCAGTGCCCCAGCTGCCCTTTAATGGGCACCTGCTGTCTGCTAGGGCTGGGCCCTCTCCCTGGAGGGCCACTGAATGCTCCACACAGCCCACAAGGTAAGCTCAGTTACCGTTCCATTACACAGAGGAGGAAGCTGAGGCTCAGACGGGTGAAGTCACCTGCCCAAGGTCAGAGCTGGAATCTGAACCCAGAGTACCAGCCTGCAAAGTCTGGGCTTTTCAGTACCCCGATTCCTGGCCTCCTCTGGCTGTCTAAAAAGACGGGAGGATTTGGGGCTGCCCAGCCCCTCCCCTGCCCACTTTCTGCCCCCTCGTCCCTCCCACAGCTAACGCACTCCTCCGAGCCGTCTCCTCCACCGGGGCAGCTGTCTCCGGAGGGCTCCTAGTGACCTTGGGGGAGGCGGGTCTGGGGGGCACTTCAGAGTCTGTCCTGGGGAGAGAAAGAGAAGATCAAGGTCAGGTCTGGCCACCTCCTAGAAGTCTCCTGGAATCCTGGAGGGCCTCCACTGTCCAGTGGAGTTGGGGTCTCCCTGGCACTTGCTCCCTACCACCTGTGCTATGGCCAGGAACTGTTCCCAGGCCACAATCCCTAAGATGCTTATGGCATTGGCCAGGGTTTATGTCCACTGAGCCCTCAGCTGCTGTGTGACCATGACAGAGTCCACGGTCCCCAGAGGCCAGGAGGGCCTGCCTGGTAGGTAGAAACAGGATGGGGACAGGATAGGAGGTGGGACACAGGGACTGCCCTCTGCCTCCACTCTTAACCTCCATGTTGTCTTTATGAGACGTTCTGACCACTGGAAGGAAGACAGAGAGTGGGTGAGAAGCAGAGGGGCCATACCCACTCCTCGCTGCCAGTCCCAATGCCACAGCTAAGGGAGTGTCCCTCCCTCCCCCTCATCCGGCTTGCTCTTCCTTCACGGCACCAGCCCCGACTGAGGCTACAGGATGCGTCTGTGGGTGTAGGTGCTGGTGACCTATCTCCCTGTCTCCTGGAATGCAAGCTCTCAGGCAACACTGGTGTCTTGCTCATTTGAGGAAGGTCACGGCCATGGCAGCCTGGGATATTCTGAACCACACCTGCTTGGCAGGGAGGCAGTCCGGTTCCCCAAAGCCCTTCCAGAGTTAATGGACCAAAGAGAAAACTGGAAGGTATTTACAGATTCCAAAATGCTCATCTCTCCAGTTCCCTAGGTCTCCAGGGCTGGAAACGGTGCCCAGCACATAGTAGGTGCTCAGGAAACTGCCATACAGCAGACAGGGTGCCCAGCAGAGGCTGAGAGGTACATCACCTCCGAGTCCCCACCTCACCCTCTGCCAACTGGGAGATCTGGTCTCTGGGATGAAAAGAAACCAATAATTACATTTCCTAAAATTCATCTTGAAGTCCTGGGCGATGGCGGCTCAGGCTGAGTGTCTGTGGAGTCGAGATAGGGACCATTTATCTCCCTCAGTCCTCACCTTTCCTTGGCAGCCACTGAGGCCGGGGCTGGGGCTGGAACCAGAGCTGGAGCTGGGGTAGCAGCCGAGGTGGGCACGACAGTGGGTGGAAGCTCCTCAGAGGTCAACCTGTCACTGACCGTGTCCTGGGAAGCAAGGGCTGAGAAGAGGCCTGACACGTTGAAGTTGATGTCTGGAGGGAGAAGAATCAACTGTTACCTCTCAGAGCCTCTGCCAGCTTCCCTACCTCAGCTGGTGTTGAGGCCACTCTCCCATCCTCAGAACTGATCTGGACCATGTTTAGTTTCCTCACTCCCACGTAAGCCTCACAACAACCCCGCCAAGCAGGCAGGACCACCCCCATGTCAGGAATGAGAAACTGAGGCTTGGAGTAGAGAAGCAACCTCCTCCAGGCCTCACGGTGAGTTTGTGGGGCTGTCGGGAACAGAGCTGGACAGAGGAGGACATGAGATGGGGAGTTCACCAAGGCAGGGGCGTCACCTCCAGGGAAGAGGGTGTCTGCATTCTGTATCAGCACCTCGACCACGCCCACCACCTGGATGGAAGACACGGAGGCGGCATCCAACTGGGCCTGGTCCCTGGGACAAAAAGGAAGATAAGGAGAGTCATCTGCTTAGCGAAGTATAATCCCAACTCTCTGTCTGGTCCTGTGTTGGGTACGGGGAACATAACGCTCAATCATACAGAGTCTGTGTTCTCAAAAAGCCCACAAGCTTGGCTGGGCATGGTGGCTCATGCCTGTAATCCCAGCACTTTAGGAGGCCGAGGCGGGATGATTGTTTGAGGCCAAGAGGTCAAGACCAGCCTGGGCAACATAGCGAGACCTCTATTTAAAACATATATATATATATATAAAAGCTCATGAACTACCGGTCGATGGCAAATGTGTCACCCACATGCCAAAGTTCCACCTTTCTTCAACCTGACAGACATCACTTGTCAGTCAAAGACCCTTTTCCTTACAGTTGTGGACCTAGCCAGCTTCTACCAAGCAACTGCACTCAGCACACAGGAAGCAATCGCTTTGCCATCTGTGGCCCATCACCACAGATGACCTCTCACATTTCACACACTTCACAGTTGACAATTCTCTGTTCACCATCTTGTCTAACTGTCAAAGGAAAAACCCTCCCAATTTGTAGATTTCTCCCCCATTTACAGACAAGAAAATGGAGGTCACGAGGATGACTCCCTTAGGCTCACCTTTGGAACGTGAAGGAGGGACTAGAACCAGGTACCCAGGCTCCCAGCCCCCACACCAGGCTGCCAAGCACCCCATCACTGGCACTTCCCAGAATGCCTATTTCCAGACCCCTGTGGGGTCCATGTTCCTTCAGGCTGCTCCTCACGGCAGCCTCAACAGCGGGAGCTGCTCAATCTACTCCAAGCATGGGGAAACCAAGGCCCAAGGGGCAAAACAAGTAGCAGCCGGCTGGAGTGGGACCTGCCTCCCTCCCGGCACCTGCGGCCCTCACCCTTCCTTCTCAGGTGGCCACAGCAGGTTGGGCCCCAGGACGATGGCGATGTTGCTAGGTGTCATCTTGTTCACCTCCTGCTCCTCGGCCAGGCGTGCCAGGAACTTCAGCAGGTACCTGGAGGCGGAAGTGGCTTGGGCCGTGGCAGGGCACCTGGGGCCACAAATGCCCCTGATACTCTGAACCCTGAGACGCTCTCAGCCCAGGGTTTCCAAAGAGCGGGAGAGACACCACACAGGATAGTTTTAACATCTTTTTTTTTTTGAGTTGGAGTCTCACTCTGTCGCCCAGACTGGAGTTGCAGTGGCCGCTCCCGG